TTCTTTAACCATACTATTAATTCTCAAGTACAAATGAGTCTTTAGAATTACACTCACCCCAATAACTTGAGAAAATGCTGTGACTGACATCAGAAAGTGACTGGGCTTTACAATTTTCAGGACTGCCATGACCACAGCACCTGGGTGTGCTGAGGCAAGGGGACATTTCTCACACACCCACAAAAGCAGCAATTTTGCCTGCTGCAAACCAAAATCCACAAAGACGTTTTAGATCCATCGGTTCCACATCTACTGCTGAATTCAATGGATCCCTCTTTTTTAAAACCCTAACTGATATCTGCCAAAGAACTTGGTTCTTGGAAGCAAACACAAGGGTCCAACGGACAACAATTTGTCCTAACCAGGGCTGCTGCACCTTTCATCAGTGGATCACAGATGACCTTGACTCCACAGGGTCCCTTAATTTGGAGCCTCCTCTTCAAACCACTAAAGGAGGTATAGTACACATGTGGCTTCTCACCTCCACCCCTCGCCAACTGTCTGTCCTGAGCCCTGTGCTATCTTTGGCTCCTGCTAACACTTTACATTTACCACCTAGTGTAGTGGGTATGTCCCAGAAGTACCCTGATCCCCCTTCCAAGTTTACAGAAGGAAGGATGCAAGAGGGCTTGGTCTCATATCCAGTGAAATGCCCTATCAGCCAGATGCCCCTGAAAGGTGAATCAGGTGGGGCCTGACTATAAACATTCCCAAGCATTCCACACCACAGCAATTCTGCCACCCCTCCAGGATGGCCCTATTCCCCTGAAGGCAACCTGAAAAGCAATAGGTTCTCTCTCCATGAGGCCAGGCCCAAATGAAAGTGTTCTTCATGGTTTCTGGCATTCTGGCATTCTTAGTGGGGACTCTAAGAAAAGATGAATAGGCAAGGCTGGGGTTCCATTCCTCCTCCCTTAATAAATATTCCTGAGGCCATGGGGGTGGGTGGCCTCCTGACACCCAGCTGGTGCATTTAATGCATCCTACCACATCCCCCTACAGCCTTTTTGGACATGAAGCAATTGTGGTGATATTTTAAAAGTCAGCTCGGTCTCCTTTCCCACTGAAGGTTTCCACTGGCTTAACTGATGGGGAAAGAAACATGAAAACCAGCAGGGTGGGGCTGGACAAGTAGCTCAGTGGTACAGCGCTTGCCTAGCATGTGGAAGCCTCTGGGTTTGATCCCCAGCACTGCAAATAACAACAAAAAACCACCAGCAGAGCACTGGATATCCTGGAAGGTCCTGCATGCAAGCATATGCTCAAAAGTGCTAACAAGTTCTGCAGTCTCTTAGACCCTAGATGATATCCCTGCTCTTTCTGCAACAGCAGCATGGGAAAATGGGTTTTAGTGTGTTTTGGTTTTGTTAGGTAATGGTAGCAAGAGTTCAAGTGCAAATCAGTGTAAATGTAATCTGTTGCCATCTTTCAGCAGAGGTCTCCTTGGGTTTCAGGCAGGCACCTCAAGCTCCATGAATGCTACTCTTGCAGGAGGTTAAGTGTCCTTTAACTTCAAACCAGAAAAATTCAGCCTATACCCAGCAGCCACTCTGAAAGCTCATAAAACAACACTGGGGAGTCCCTGCTTCAGTTTCCTTTCTGGGGCTACAAAAATGCAGATGAAGCAAGTATTTGTTTGCATTTTACTATGTAAATAAAGCTTTTTCTCAGGGCCAAGCTTGGGAAAAAAATAGCCCTCCACACAAACACTGGAAATGCCAAGGGCCTCTAAACACATCACCCCTTAAAGGCCAGTGTCTTCAAAAAGAGGAATTAAGTAAATAAAAGCTAAAACTCTTTAAAAGCAAAGGTGACACACCATTAACCTAACAAAATGATTCACAACTGGGGTAACATTTGGCAATGCCTAGGGACATTTCTAGTTGTCACATCTAGAGACAGGTGTCATTGGACTCCAGTAGGTAGATGCCAGGGAAGCTGCTGATCCACCTACAATACACAGAACAGCCACCACCACAAAAAATGATTCAGCCCAGAATATAAAGTGTTGAAAAGCTGTCACTGACAGATATCACCAAGTTATTCATGGACATTCAGGATCAGGGTCTGATTCTCAGGGCCCTTCCCAGGATTTTCCAAGTTTGTGACTTCAGGGTACACCATTTAAACTCCCTTGGCCACAGCTGTTTTCATTTATATAATGGGCCAATGAAACCTCTCCATCTGAAGAGGACTGAATCACTGTGTTCTTGACATCCCGTCCAATTTTCTTTTGTTTTGAGGTGTTGGAGATGGAACCCAGGGCCCTGTGCATACTTGCAAGCACTCTACCAACTGAGCTACAGTACTCAGTTCTGAGAAGTGCTCAATATGAGACTTTCAAATGAGACCTACATTATTCAAATAATACCCACCCTATTAGCAAAAGAATGTATCCTCTCATACTCAATCAAATTACCTCCAAATCAGAATCAACTAAATAGAAAATTAATTGTGCAATATATCCCAGGGCTCTAATATGTAACTATTTAATTACAAAGATTTTTTTGGGTTTTTTGTTTGTTTGTTTGTTTTGTGGCGCTGGAGTTTGAACTCAGAGCCTCACACTTGCTAGGCAGGCACTCTAACCACTTGAGCCACTCCACCAGTCCTAATTACAAAGACTTTTTAAAGTGTAAAAGAACTATTAGAAGAATTATTTAATAAGCCCCATTTGGCTTCTCAGTAGCTACTGAAAAAGGAAGATTCAAAGCTTGGATTAATTTGAATTCTGGTTGTAAAACAATTTTCCCGAGTCTCTGTCAGAACATATACTTCTACTTTTTAAGTGGACATAAATGGACACATTCTCCTCCATCTTTTTTTTAAATAACATGACTGTTAACTACCAGTTGTCAGGCTGCAGGCAAGTACCACCCACTGATGATCTTAATCCAGAAGAAGAGTCAGGTACATAAAATATTGCTGATACTATGCAACAGAATGTGTGGTTAAAGTGTGCAGAAGCACTGGTGCAACAGCCATGTGTGTGGGTCTATGTATGTATGGAAATACAGAACAAAAACCCTGTGCTGGTGAAGTGGCTCAGTCAGTAAGAGCGCCTGCCTAGCAAGTGTGAGGTCCTGAGTTCAAACCCTAGTACCACCAAAAAAAAAAAGACCCCCCCCATCTCACAACAAAAGCCCAAGATATTTTGAATCCCTCCATCCCAAGCAACCAAACCGTATTTTTCTAATCTCACTGTAGCATGTGGGGCTGGAAACATGGCTCAGTGGTACAACTTGGCGTTACTGGGTTTGCCCAACACTTCCTTCAGTTTCTGGAAATGCTAGAGAAGCAGGAGGCACTAAGAATGAGATGTTTTAAGGGCTGGAGGAGTGGCTCAAGTGGTAGAGCACCTGCCTAGCAAGCGTGAGGCCCTGAGTTCAAACTCCAGTACCTCCAAAAAAAAAAAGTGGGAGAAGAATGAGATGTTTTAAAACCTGGGTGACCTGTACAGAGGAGCAGGAGTTCTGATAAGTCTCCAGAGTCTGATGAAACAACTGGATTTTAGACAAAGAGCAACTTCCAACTTTGTTACACTGTGGAAAGTCAAAAGTAAGACTTTATATTAAACGTTTTACAATTTATTCCATCTGCTTTAAAGACATGTTTAAGGAAGATGTGCAGAATCATGTGTTTCTCTTTCTTTTTTTTTTTTTTGCATCCCCAGTGATGGAAAAAGGAAAAAATGCACATATAAGAAATATGCAAAATTGTGTCCTATCATTTCAAAGAATCCAGTTCAATAAATTTACATTCGTAACAATGACAACCTGTTTCCTGATTTCAACATAAATTCAGTGCACAACTTAACAAGTCTCTCCTCAGTCTCCAGTTTTGTATACATAAAAATGAGAGAGGGGCTGGGCATGTAGCTCCGTGATAACAGCACTTGTCTGATCCCGAGCACCAAGAGAGAGAGACAGACAAGACAGACAGACAGAGAGCGACAGAGACACAGAGGAAGGCTGGAATAGAGAGGTATAGTGTCTCATTTACTGTTTGAACAACAAAGCCATCCTACCTACTTCTCAAATTCATTACCAGTGGGGTGGGTTAGGAGTCACTTAATTTCTTCCTGCGGTGGTGAGAGACGATGGAGAAAAAAGCCAGTAAGTCACCTTCAAACGCTTCAAGTAGCCAAGAATATTTACATTTTAAAGGGAACTTTGCTCTTAGGATTGGCGAGCTAATCCTCCCTAGAGAAACTGACCACTAGACACTTAACCAGAAAAAACCCGAGAGACTGACTTGTTTGTTTTTACAGGTTTATACAGGTTCAGTCGCTAAGTTTCAAGATAGATTTTGTTGTAAAACAAGAGAATTCCAAGTTCTAGAGCAACCCCCCACACACACACATTAGGAATTTCGTATTATCGGAACTCAAATCCCACTTTTATAAGCACGCTGAAAAGTTTCTGTAAGTTTCTGCAAGTGTGCAACGCGCGTGGACACAGACTGGCAGCCGAAAATCAGTAAATATTGATGATGTCTCAGTTGAGGACTGAGAAGCTGGGGGCGGCAGCTGCCAGTCTGGCTTTCGTGGGGAAAACGGATGCAGGTCCAAGGAGTACAGAACCCGGGGGCTCTAAGAAAGCAAACACAAGTTGGGGACGGCTCTGTCCACCTCCTGGCTCCTGGGAATGCGCCTCTCATCTCCGGGCAGCCCCGCAGGTGTAGGTCGCCCACCAGAGGCCAGAAGTGACAGGGGACTCTGCCAGGCCCTTTCCCTGAGGAGGATGGGAAGGGGACCCGGAACAGAAGCCATTTAAACTTTCAACGACGCTGGGAGCCGCCGCAAAGAGGCGGGGTGGCGCCGGAACCGCACACCTATGCGGGCCCAGGGCCAAGGTCTCCCGCAGGTGACGCCAGCAGACTCGCGCTCCAGAGGCGAGGGTGCCAACGGGCCGTTCCCTTCAACTCCCCCAACCCCGACAAGCTTCCAGCGTCGCGGCCACCTCCGGACTGTCACCATGTAGGCCCTATGGCCGCCTTACCTTGGTGATGACCAGCGGCTCGCCATGCTCGCGGCCGCCCTTCAGGGTGAAGCCCCATGGCGCGCCGCCGCTCAGCTGCACCTCCACCAGGCGCCCGCCGTCGGCCGTCCGCGCCTCGGCCTCGGCCTCGGCCTCAGCTAGGCGCTCAGTCCGCGCGCAGGGTTCGGCGCCCTCCATGACGCGGAGCGCTCAGCCCCCCGAGCCGGTCAGGTCCGCACTCATGCACTCCGCGAAGCCCCTGCCGGCCAACAACAACGAGGGAGCCCCTCGGCGTCCACACCACCGCCGCCGCCGGCCACTAGCGAACTTGCGCTGCAACTTGGAGAAAAGTGCCGGCCGGGCCGGGAGGGAGCGGAGGGCCGGCTGCGCGGCGCGAGGGGGAGGAGGAGGCCGGAGGGGCGGGGCAGGCGCGCTCTGGAGCCCGCGCGCTCGGTTGGGCCAGGGCGGGGCGCGCGCGTTCGGGGGCTCCAGCCCTGCGCCCGGAGGGTGGTAGGGGGCGGGGTCAGGCGCGCGCCCGAGGACCGCACAGGAGAGGCGCACGGGGCGGGCGCGTGCGCCCAGGGGTGCGTCAAGTGTGAGAGCAGGCCGGGAGGGGCGCGCTTAGGCGCTCGACCTGCTCCTTGCAGGGGGCAAGGAGCGCGCGCTCGGGGTCCAGCGCAAACTGCATGGACCCGGCCGCGGGCTGGCTAGGGTGGCTGCGCGAGGACCCGCCCTTCGGCGCGAGCGCCTAGTGGCGCTTGGAGGCTCTGGGTGCGTCAGTCTGCCTCCCAGGAGGCCAGGGCGCTGCAGGTGAGGCGACGGGCGGAAGCGCCCGCACGGGGCGGGGCGGGGTGGGGCGGAGCGCGGCCGCTGTGGCCGCAGCCCTCGGCACCTTCCATCTTGGAGCGCGCGGCCCGCTCGACGCCTCCGCCTTTGTTCCTGCGGCCCGCGGGCGGCGGCGCAGGTGAGGGCGGAAGCGCAGCAGAAGGCTGCTCCCTGCGTGTCCGCTTCTCTCCGGTGCGACTGCAGCTTTGCTCCAACCTTGGGACCGGCTGTCCTGAGAGCCTTCCGCGCGCGTGGACGCTGTCCCGGCCCTGATCGGCGCGGAGCTCGCCCCAAAGCCCCGGCTCTGTAGATGGTGCTGTGAAAGCCCGGGCAGGACTCTAGACCCTTCGCATGAGGGCCTTCCCACCCTCCTACAAATTCCCTCTTGTGGAGATAGCCCATTGTAGTGTTGGCTGGTACTGCTGTTCTAGCTCAGGGAGCCTTTCCTTTCCCTGTTCATAACTTCCATAGAATTGGGCCACAAGTTCTGCCCCACATTTACATCCCTCACAAAGGGTAGTGGTGGTCAGGAAATGAGAGTCTGTGTATAGTCCTGCTCCTTTTCAATTTCCATAAAACTCCAGCCTTTATTTAAAATACCTGCATTGATAGGTATTTGCATGCTTTGCTGAAACAAAAACAAAACAAACTTATTTCGTTGCTGTTTGTGTTGGTAGCCAGACCTGGTGAACACCTGTTTCTTCAAAACAGCTCCGGTACTTCAGCAGGTAAAGGACCTGCTGGGAGCTGATAGAAAAGACAAGCTGAGAGAGCAGTGGACCCTCCAAGAGGGTCGGGTTCCCTGGGTCTTTGGGCTCTGCCTTTATGAAGCTGGTATAAGGAATCTCTACTCTGGCCCCAGTTACTTCAGAGATCAAGGGCGATTCACATGGCTGATCGTTTTGTATCTCATCAGGCCAATTAAGAGTCCATTCTCCACTGGTATCCGTCGTGGCTCTGGACATGTGGTTACTGCCACATAAATAATTTCTATAGGGCAATCTCCAAAATGCCTCTAGTTAGAAGAAAGAGGTGATTTTTATCAAGTAGAGACGTAAGGAATGTGCATCTCAGAATGAATTCCAGGTATAAATTGACTGTGCTGTTGCTCCCAGGAATCAGCACAGATTAAGTTATAAAGAATTAAATACATGAATGAATGCATGCAAAACTAGGGAAATCTCAATTAAGATTGGTCGGTTGTGTCAAGGTAGATATCCATTTTGTGATATTGTGTTAGTTTTATAAAACTAAGATGTTACCATTGGGGCTGGGAGTGTGGTTCAGTGGTAGAGCCATTGCCTGGCATGCTCAGGGTCCTAGGTTCAATCCCCAGCACTGCCAAAAAAAAAAAAAAGTTAGTATTGGTAGAGGCATGTCAAGGGTGCATAGGACCTCCCTGTATTAGTTCTTACAACTACATGTGAACCTGCAATTACTCAGAGCTTCATAGGAAGTGAAGGGTGGATAAAAGATAAAAGACAATGTGAATGCACCCAGTGTGCTTACCAAAGTTTGCAGAATTCTCCTCCCCAAACAGCTTGCAGTCCTCTCCAGACCCGTCCCCTCAAACTGGTATTGACTTAAGTCTCAACCCTAACGTGGGGCTGAAATGCCTTCTTAGTTTCTTTCTTAAACTTGGGTGCAAATTTGTGTTCACCTCACCAAGGTCTTTTTTAAATCTTCACATTAGACATCATTTTTGTGTTTTTGCATCATTTCAATATTCATAAGGCTACTATCTATATCAACAATAAATATGCAAAAAGGACTGGACCAAGACTTGTGTGGCTGCTATGAGACAGATGCCTACTTGGTGTCATAAATCCTTTAATCAACATTCTTGGGACTGTGTGGCTGAGCACATTGTCCATGTTTTCATCACACTTAGATCTCTGTATCCTGTTTGTCACACCACTACAAGACACTGTCAAATGTCTTGTGAAAACATCAACTCCTTGTAACTGACAGACATTGCCCCAATCAGCCTTCTACTCACCTGGGGAGAGTTTATTATGGCATTGAACCAGTGTGAGCTCCTGTTGGAGATGGCTTTCTTTCCAGAGAACTTACCACTTAGCAGGATTTTCCAAAGGTAGAATGTGTTTGTCAACATCTGCCTTTCCTCCTTTTGGAAAGCCTGAGACTAGTTGGTCTGTTGCTTCTTGCTTCTTGGATATTCGGCTTTGTTACTCAGGAAACACGAGGACTAGCATTAATCTTGTGACCTGCAGGGAGCATGACCCTAGGCTCTCCTCCATCCAGGGATGCCAGAGCTACAGGTGTTTCTTCCACGCCTTCAAATCTAACACTTATTTTCTTTGACAGAAAAGAGGTGAAATTAAAACTATTCTTTTACTTTGTCAACAGTGAATGAGTGAGTTAATAAAAAGGTGAGCTAACTTTCAGAGATTTAATTAATAGCTAATCTTCTGTATGAAAATATCATCATGAAACATGTTTTGTGCAATTAATATATACCAATAAACATTTTAAATTTCTTAAAAATTTTTAAAAATACCTAACCTTTATGAAATGGAGCTCAAATTATTTTTTCTTGTAACGATATTTATACTCATACAATGCATTGCAAGATGGAGTTCCAAATTTTTACTTTTACCTTTCAATTTAATGAGTAAATCAGCTAGTAAGGAAGGCCATGCTTTCCAGACCTCTTTTAATGTGGTGGTTTTACAAGGCAAGGGGGATGAGCGGATGGCTCAGTTATAGACAGCATGAAGCGCCATTATCAAAAACGTAAAAGGCAGTATTAGTCGTTTCCACCCTTGATCCACTGTGTACCTGAGGACACAGTGGATCAGACTGGCAGAGGATCAACCAAGACCAGAGAGCAAACTCACAATGAGTTTGTCCTTTGCCACCAACTTTGTCATCTCATTCTGGGTTTCTACAAGCTACTACTACAAACATTGGGATTTAGCCTAGCTGCAGATCTTATACCAATGATAAAAGTGGAATGCTAAGCTATTTCCTACCACCTCCCCCATCTGACCTCATAAGGATTTCATACTGGCTTTTTTTGTTGGTTGGAATATTTATAGATCTCTGCTTCTAGATGTGCAAGGGAGTGAGGAGAGACCACGGCCTCTGTCCGTGCCTGGCACCATTATCATATTTCACCTTTGCAGTTTGCATCCTATGGCCCATATCATTTTGCTGAGGGAAAATGCAGCCACAACAGATAAAAAGAGTAACTTTCATTCACAGAGTGCCTGCTGTATGCAAATGGTCTCACGTTTTCTTGGTATAGATATCATCCCATTTTACTCAGGAAGACTCTGGGACCCAGAGGAGTCACAGAGCCCAGGTCTCCTTGGAAAGAACAAGAGCCTGAACTAGAGTGAGCATCCAGGAGTACAGGGCAGTTTTCACCAAGCAGGTGTGGTGGCTTGCCTCTGTAAGATTGCAGGACACATGGCCTTAGAGACTCCTTCATCTCCAGGTCCAGTTGTCCAGCAGGAAAGAGGCCAAAGCCTACCAAAGGGGCAGATTTGCTTAGAACACTAGATGCTCCCTTAGATCTGTTCCAATTCCAATTCTTTTTCCTTTGGGACCTTTTTAAAATGTTCCATGTGTGACCCCAGAGTAATGGTGTGCACCTGTAGTCCTAGCTAGCTACTGGGGAGGCTGAGACAGGAAAGTCTTTTGAGTCCAGGACTTTGGAACCAGTCTGGGCATCATAGTGAGATCCCATCTCTTTTTAAAAATCGTATGTATATGATTCATGAATTATATATTAAAATGAAGCTTTTATTTTTAAAAACAACTTTTTAAATAATTCTGTCTGACCAGATTTCCTATATTTCAACTAGAAGAACTAAATAAATAACTGGAGATTTATATATATATCTGTATATATACACGTGTAATGTTACTGTGTAACAGATATGTAACATGTAAGTACATAGCAATTCCTAATTTTCCCAATTAGGAGTACTTAAATAAAAAGAAAAAGATAAGAGTACTGAGATAAGCTACTGTAAAAGTGTTTTATATTTCAATATAGTTTTTGGGAAAAAAAACATTGACTTGGGGCAGTGGTATAGCTCAGTGGTAGAGCACATGCTCAGCATTCAAGACCCTGCCTTCAATCCTAGCTTTAAAAAAAACCCATTGACTTTAAAACTATTTTATAATATAGACATTGAGCATAGACTTCTTGAGCACTTCTTACTTGTCCAATACTGGGGGAAGGGTGCCAAGGAATATAAAGGATGCAGGAAATATGAAACATTAACTTTAGCTGTGAGGGGAAAAATTTATGAAATCTCATGAAAAACTAAGGACTACATGACTTTGAACTTCCAAAGTGTCATCAGGAGAGAAAGGAAAGTAGGGAAGAGAAGGAAAAA